GGGGTCGTCCCTACCACACCGGGGCCGTTTCGACCTGACTGGGGGCGTCCCTACCTCACGGGGGCCGTTTCAACCTCACCGGGGTCGTCCCTACCACACCGGGGCCGTTTCGACCTGACCAGGGTCGTCCCTACCTCACGGGGGCCGTTTCAACCTCACCGGGGTCGTCCCTACCTCACGGGGGCCGTTTCAACCTCACCGGAAAGACCCACATTTTTCACTTTCAAAACTTACCACAGAGCCCTAACCGGTTTGGCTCAGCGGATAGAGTGTCAGCCTGCGGACTCAAGGGTCCCAGGTTCGATTCCGGTCATGGGCATGTACCTGGGTTGCGGGCACATCCCCAGTGGGGAGTGTGCAGGAGGCAGCTGATCGATGTTTCTCTCTCATCGATATTTCTAACTCTCTATCCCTCTCCCTTCCTCTCTGTAAAAAAAAAAAATCAATAAAATATATTTTTTAAAAAAACTTACCACAGAGCTATATTAATCAAAACAATGTGAGAAAAGAATTGTAGATCAACAGAACTAAATTGAAGTCCAAAAAAATAAACCCTTACATTTATGGTCCATTGGTTGTGATAAGAGTGCCAAAACAACTCAAGAGGGACAAGATAGTCTTTTCAACAAATGGTGTAGAACAACTGGATATCCCCATGGAAGAGAAGGAAATTGGGACTCCTTCCTTATACCATACACAAAAATTAACTTAAAATGCATCCTAGACCTAAATGTAAGAGCTAAAACGATAAATCTCTTAGAAGCAAACAAAAAGAATAAATGTTCATGATCTTGGGTAGGGTAAAGCATTAGATGTGACACCAAGGGACAAAAGAAAAAATAATGGAAAACTTTTGTGCTTTAAAAGACACCATCAAGAAAGTGAAAAACAACTTATAAACAGAATAGGAGAAAATATTTGCAAACTATATACAGTGGATCCTCATTATTACTGGATTCCATATTTGTGAACTGGACTGCTTGCTAAAATTTATTTGTAACCTCCAACTCAGTATTCACAGGGTTTGCCCTGGTCATTTGCAGACACGTGCAGAGCAGAGAAAGAGATGCAAAGGTACCAGCTAAGGTCAAGCAAGGCCATGGCTCTGTCTTCTTTTCTCAGCTCTCTCACAGAGATCATCGGAGGGTGAAGACAGTAGGGGGCAGTGCAGTTTAGTTCAAGAAGCTCTGCTCCTGAGCCATTTGGATGGGGTATGAACTCCAACTTTGGGAGGATTAGTGGGGCAGCCTCAGGCAAGTTACTTAACATTTCTCTGAATCTCCTATTCCCTATTGTAAAATAAAGAAAATGGAAGCTATTGGAAGAGTTGTTTTTAGGATTTAAGATTGTAATCTATGTGAGATACGCGCATATATGTACATACTTTTCCAGGAGCAATGAATGGTTCAGTGTTTGTGGTGACTTTATAGAACATAACTACCAGGAATACCAAGAACTGACTATATCTGATAAGGGGATTTATATCCAGAATGTATAAAGAAGCCTTACACCTCAACGAATAGCCCAATTGAAAAATGGGCAAAGGATTTGAACAGACATTTCTCCAAAGAAGATACACAAATGGCTGATAAGCACCTGAAAAGATGATCAATGTTAGCTATTAAAGAAATGCAAATCAAAACCACAATGAAATTATCACTTCAGACCCACCAGGATAGCCCTAATCAAAATGATGGATCATAAGTGTTGGTGAGGATGTTGGAACCCTCATATGGTGCTAGCAAGAATGTAAAATAGTGCAGCCATTGTGCAAAATAGTTTGGCAGTACCTCAAAATGTTAAACATGAAGTTACCATATGACCCAGCAATTCCATTCGTAGGTGTATATCCAAGAGAAATGAAAACATATCCACACAAAAACTTGTACATGAATGGTCATAGCGGCATTATATAACAGCCAAAAAGTGTAAATAACAAATGTCCATCAACTGATGAATGGATAAATAAAATGTGATATATCAATACTATGGAATATTATTTGGCCATAAGAAGGAATGAATCACTGATACATGCTACAACATGGATGAACCTAGAAAACATGCTAAGTGTAAGAAGCCAGTCACAGAAGACCACTTTTGAGGGAAAGTGGAAGTGTTAGTAAGTACAGCATTTCTTTTTTAGTGAGATAAAAATGTTCTAAAATGGATTGTGGTGACAGTTGTACAATTCTGTGGATATACTAAAAACCATTAAATTCTACATTTAAAATGGGTGAATTATATCACAATAGAGCTATTTTTGTTTTGTTTGTTTGTTTAAAAAGTCGTATGTGCTTTAGTCATAGATTTCAGATGGAAACTCCAGAAGTATATTCCCTGTATAGTTACTTTGTTAGTAAATCAGATTTTAAGTCTAATTTGTACTTACATTATCAAAATAACAATCATAACCGTCAGGAGAAGCTTTTTTCAACGTTTCTTCCAAAGACTTTATTGTCTTGTAGTTAAAGACAACGTCAAATCCAAGCTTTTTAAGGTAGGCAACCTTATCATCAGACCCTGCTGCTCCAACAACTTTGCAGCCCTAAGTAGGGGTGGGGCGGGGGAAGGAAATCATGTATAAGTCACAAGCACAGACCAACTCCACCCTCCTAGTCCAGTAAGGTCAGGTTCCCCCAAGAACACCTTCTGAGGGGCTGAGCCACGTATATGAGAATACCACGATGGGCCAAAAGACCCTATAAGTAAAATTAGTCCCTGAACCATCCTACAACCCAAGAATAACTTCAGCTTGCCTCTGACTACCCAACAGATCCTTTCTATGTTTATGTGGTTTGCAATTCATTTCAACCTGCCGGCTTGACAACATATTCATTTGTCTCTCTTGTGGTTTTTTTTTTTAATTAATGTTTTTTATTGATTTCAGAGAGAGGAAAGAAGAGGGAGATAGAAACATCAATGATCAGAGTGAATCATCAATCGGCTGCCTCCTGCATACCCCCAACTGGGAGCTAGCCTAAAACCCAGGCATGTGCCCTGGCTGAGAATTGAACTGTGACCTCCTGGTCATAGGTCGATGCCCAGCCATTGAGCTATCCCGGCCAGGCCCTCTCTTGTTTCTTTATTTTGAAGCTTCTCTTCCCTTGCAATGACTTGCATGCTATCTCTTGATGCAGTTGTCCTTTAACTATTATTTTGGCTCAGTTCTGGGACTCTCATTTCATAGATAGCCCTCCCGGTAACTGTCCCCTTTTGTTTGATTTGGCCCAAAGCATTGGACTAGATGCTGCTTAATCTGCAAAGCGCATTTAGGCTGAGACTGGATACTATATTGGCACAAAGAAAGTAGCTCTTCAGAAAGCTCTCTTACATTCTGAATGGATCGTGAAGACCAGAAGATGAGCCACTATGCACTTTCAGTTAGGGAAAGACCTTCGGGTTCATACATGTATCTGTACTAACAATGACTGCTATCTACACACTTTTCCCATTTTTTCATGATTCAAGAAAAAAACTCTTGCAAAAGCTCCACCCTCTGTCTTTTGTCCTAGCCTTCTAAACTCACAGGATGATCTCATCGACACTTATGACCTCAATGCCTCCTTCATGCAGATGTTTCTCACCCTTTCTATCCACATCCAATCACCAGGTTTTATTCTTTTTTCCCAAATACCCTAAAAGCTGGCTCTGACGTCTAATCTCTACCCTTGATGCATCACAGTTTCCATCTGAATTCTTGTAAGGGCCTCCTAATTAGACTTCTTGTCTCTAGTACTTTGCCCCTGGAAACTATGAACCAAGGCAATGTAACTTCTCTAAAATGCAGAACTAATTCTGTCTCTCCTTTAAGGATTAAGCTTTTTAGTACGGCAGTGTCCAGTGGGGTTTCTAAAAGAACAGGTTTAGGGATAAGTCCTATCAAATTTTTGAAATAAACATGCCTTACAGTTTAAAGAAAACATTTAACATTTGACTATTGGAATTATTACTAATTTGTTTTGTAAGTCTAGCATAACCCAAGCTGAATATTGATAAGTTCAGAACAAAAAAAAAAACTTCAAACCAAACTCGTCTATAAAGATAGATGCAAAAATTCTGTTTAAAATGCGATCAATAAAATTCCAAGGTACAAATCCATAATTTCCATAGGTAAATAAAGCTTATTCCAGGAATGCTAGAATGATTCAATACTGGACTACTAATGTAATTCACTAACTGCAAAGTTAACCTGATAAATGCTGAAATAACATTTGATAAAATTCAGTATCTATTCCTATGTCTTTACTTACTTGTAAATAAATTCTTCCTGTAACCTCTAAGGTAGCTTCATTTCTTATTTGTAGCCCAAGCTCCCATTAACACTGGGGACCACCCTGAATCCTTGGCTATTGGTTATAGTCCTGTATTCATCTGTATTTCACTTCACTCTTTCCCCAGGAACTAGGTCCTGATTCTGCATCCCAGCCTCTGGCAAAGGATCAGCTAAGCGAAATCAGCTTGCAACATTCCTCCATGTGACACATCCTGACCATGTCTGAGCTGCCTGCTGCCCACCATCACATCAGATCTCTTGAACACAGACTCCTGCCTAAATCAGAGCAATGTTTCCATGCCCTAGGTACCTCCTAGGAGTTGGCCTCACCGCTCTGGGCTGACTGTAGTAGCCTTCGCCATGGGGCCATGTGGGCTATCTTGATTGGCTAACCTCACGTTCCTCCTTTATTGTTGGGGACAATCATAAGGAGAGAAGGTAAGGCTGTAACAAGAAATGTTCAGCAACCACTATGAAAGAAGCCTGGCTGGTGTGGCTCAGTTGGTTGAGCATCTTCCCTTGCACCAGGAGATTTCAGTTCGATTCCCGATTCCCGGTCAGGGCACATGCCCAGGTTTCTGGCTCAATCCCCAGTAGGGGGCATGCAGGAGGCAGCCAATCAGTGGGTCTCTTTCATCATTTATTTCTCTCTCTCTCTCTCTTCTCCCTGCCTCTCTGAAATCAATAAAAATATATTTTAAAAAAGTAATAATGTTCATTTTTTCCTCATTCTCCCATTTCTCATTCATTCCCAATCTTCAACTTCTAAACAAGATCCACTACCAGCGGTTCTCAACCTGTGAGTTGCGATCCCTGAAAATACATCCTGCATATCAGATATTTACATTACGATTCATAACAGTAGCAAAATTACAGTTATGAAGTAGCAACGAAAATAATTTTATGGTTGGGGGTCACCACAACATGAGGAACTGTATTAAAGGGTCGCGGCATTAGGAAGGTTGAGAACCACTGCATCTCCGAGACTAGGGAAGGTCTGCTGTGTTCACTGCTGCATTCCCAGTGCACACTGTGGGTGCTGAGCATTTGCTCCTAGAGGAAGACACTTACCTTGATCTTAGCTATCTGCCCCACAACAGAGCCCACGGCTCCTGCTGCTGCATTAACCAAGACTGTTTCTCCACTTTTTGCACTACAGATGTCGAGTAGGCCAAAGTAGGCTGTTAGGCTGAGGAAAGAAAATTAAGGATATGTGGATAAATTTGTTGCTTTCCCATATAATTCATTCAGATATATTCCAAAGACCTTCTTAGACTGCCATGGGTATAGGTAAAAGAAAACAATAGGAAATGAATATTACCATCCACTAATGGTCCACCTCCTCTTTCCTTACCCCTTACTCCAAACAGAAATAATGAGGGGACTAGGGTGGGAAGGGAGAGTTGGCTGGAGGGGACTGCATCCTGTCTATCACCAGGTTAAGTCTTGGAGGTGAAAGAAGATAGGTCCCCCTTAAACTTTGGTGACCCAAGAATAGAGAGGTTGTGCCTCATTCGCATCTAAGTCCTAGGGAGATGGAGAGCTTCTTGGGGAAAGTCTCCATGTCATCCCGGTGCCACAGCCACAGAGCAGATATAATGGTATGAGGTGTTTAGGCATGACAGGGTCAGAGAGAAACACCTGGAGTTTCCCATGGCTCCAAAGCAGTATGGGAGAACTTCTGAAACTTCTTCATCTCACCCCAAGTAGGATGTCAAAGTTAGCTTGCAGGAAAAGGACACTAGGCTTGCGAAGATACAGCTCAGACAGTACTGATGGGGAGTAGGTGAAGAAACCACCACACCTCCGTGGATTGCTGGCTTGGAAGAAGACGTGGTTGAAGACACAATGGGAAAAGTTACGCTTTGAGCAGGAGACTAGCCTCAGACTAAGAAAGATCAAGCTCAAGCAGTTGTTGTCCCCCTTCTACTGACACTGAACTTGCATTCGCCCTTGGAGCTTTGCATCAACCCTAGGGAGAAGATAAAGGAAATGCTGAGCTTGAAACCTGAAATGACCTGAGAAATCACTGAATTTACTGAGGTTTTCTTTTACTACACCAGCCAAAATAAGGGCTTGAAATAGAAATAAAGTGCAATCGTAGAAACAGTTTGAGTTATGTTTTGCACCCCTGAGTCTGAGCCAATGAAATCCATACCCATTATGGTGACTGTTAAGCCACTTTCAAAATTTCAGACAAATTCATGTAAAGTTGTTTCTATATAAAACAGAAACTACAGCCCTAACTGGTTTGGCTCAGTGGATAGAGTGTCAGCCTGCAGACTGAAGGGTCCCAGGTTCAATTCTAGTCAAGGGCATGTACCTTGGTTGCGGGCACATCCCCAGTAGGGGGTGTGCAGGAGGCAGCTGATCGATGTTTCTCTCTCATCAAAATTTCTAACTCTATCCCTCTCCCTTCCTCTCTGTAAAAAAATCAATAAAATATAAAAAAATGTGATTTCTTTAAAAAAACAACAACAACAGAAACTATATATTGGCATAACTTAAGTTTCCTCAGCCTTGACTCTATTTGGGGTCCATGAGAGTTGAGCACTGAAGGGAAGGTAGTGAAAGGCATAGGCAGCACTTTATCCAAGGACCCAAATATCTAACTAATATTCCCTTAATCCAGTGTTTTTCAAAAGAAAGAGGGAGGGCAAATGGGGGGAAATGAGGAAGAAAGGCAGGAAGGAAGGGAGAAAGGTGGAAACGGAAGGAAGGAAGGAGGAAGGAAGGAAAGGATCACACAACATAGTAAAAGAGCAGAAATAAAGGAATTCCAGGCAATGACTAGAACGTGTTGGGGACTCCAAAAGGAATTCAGTCGACCTTGCTTCTCCTGGGCATAAAAGAAACTTGAGGTCCACAATGCAGCCGGGACCTGGAACGCAGACACAGGATGAACTGACCAGGTGTCTTCCTGAGGGACAGGAAGAACTTCCCGAGGTCAAGAGACACCTGGGCATTTATTTTAAATCTGTGCCAAGCGGAGAGACTGCACAGCTACTAGTATAATCTGTGATTCATCTTCGTTATTTAATGTCCAGCTTCTCTTGCTCCTCAGGGAAAGGTGGGGAAGGATACAGACGCAGAAAACCAAGGTAGACTGAACTCCTTCCCTTTTAGAATTCTGAAATGGAGGCGGAGATGAGTGATGGGTGAAGCTAGGACCCTCTCAGGGACAGGAGGAATGGTGCCTTTGCGTTGCCATTTGCCAGATGCTTGAGAGGGATCGTGCCCACCTTGCTTCTCACTCCTGCTTCCTCTTTGTACCTGAGTGTCACTGACCTGATTCCCCTCTTTTTTCCTTTAGTTTTAAGGCTACCTTGAGCCTCGCCCACTCTTCTTTCCTTCTTAACCCCACCATCTTCTCTAATCAGCCCTGAACCTATAATGCAGAGGTTCTCAACCTGTGGGTCGCGACCCCTTTGGCGGTCGAACGACCCTTTCACAGGGGTCGCCTAAGGCCATCCTGCATATCAGATATTTACATTACGATTCATAAAGTAGCAACATTACAGTTATGAAGTAGCAACGAAAATAATTTTATGGTTGGGTCACAACATGAGGAACTGTATTTAAAGGGCCAGCAGGTTGCGAACCACTGCTCTAATGCCTTGTCTCTTCTGATTGACCAAGTTCTGGACAAAGCATTTTGGAAATGCGGAGTGTCAGGCACTCAAACAAGTGGCATACAGGCACAAAGCTCACCCCGGCATGCCGAGTGTTCCCAGCATCAAAGACAGAGGTAATGTGTTTGGCCACGCTTCCGGCATCTTCTCTAGTTCTTTTCCGTCAGAAATGGAGTGTGATGTCCAGCCTGAAGAAGCCAATACTACAGTTCCTGTGGGAAAGGCTGAGTTTTTACTTTCCACAACTCTGAAAGATAAAGCACATTGGGACATGTGAAACCTCTGGCCTTCGAAGAGGATGGGGATGCTGTGTGGCTCTATACAATGAGCACTGAGGTTGATATTCCACGAAGGAATACCCCGCCCACATCTCTCCAGCTTAATTCTTAGCCATTGGTCTCTCCTTCTTCTGGACAAAATATAGGGGCCATCAGACATGGATGCTCTCAATTGGCCCAGCATCTGTCCCTGTCCTAACCCACTTCTCTTCTATCTAAGCAAGAGGTGTCCATCCTCTGTCTCGCGGTGCCCTGGACACCAGCTGCTTATGTTCTTCAGGGGTCACGTCCATTTCTGAGCCCTTCTTCTCCCCTGAATCTGTAACACTTTCCTCCCTACTGTCCCTTGCCCTCGGCGTAAAAGCCTGCTCAACTCTGCTATTTTACAATCCCATTTTCTCCCTGCCTCCTTCCTCTGTCTTCTTTGCTTCCCATTCATTTGATAACCCAATGCCACACCCCCACTATGCCACTATGGTCACAACAACCCCCTGAGAGCAAAATCCAGTGGACACTCTTCATTCATTATCTGATTTGACTTTTCTACTGTATTCAACACACTGTGCCACCTCACACTCTTTCCCATTGGTTTCCAGGATTTTGTCAGGCTTTTTACCTCTCTCTCTAAGCTGCTCCTTTTTTGTCTCATTTGTCGATTTCCTTTCTTCCAGCGTCTCCCACTCTTACCATTCTTTATTGTCCCTCTCCCAAGATCATAAAGTTATATAACATACATTTATTTTTAGGAAATTCAAAACATATAAAAGTATCAGTTCTAAGCCTATGAAACAAAGATAACTTGTAATATTTTGGTGTATTTTATGGCAATCTTGATATATTTTGTAATGTGCATATATTGTGTGTCTTTACACAAGCGAAGTAATTTTATGTGTTTTGTAATCTAATTTTCTCCTTCAACATGATATTAGTCTATATAACTTATACTTTTTCTCATGTTAGTCAGAATCCTTCAAAAACTATAATGAATTTAATTATTTCCCCATTATTAGACATTTAGACTATTTCCAGTATTTTTCCTAATGTAAATTACATTTCAATCTCTATCCATAAATAAGAACTTGTTATTTCCTTAGACAGTATTTCTCTAGATGGAATTACTAGGGTAAAGAGTATTAAAACATTAACTGTTGCTGGATATTGCCAAATTCCTTTTGAGAAGGTTATGCCAACTTTTGCTTTTACACTTAATGTATGAGAGTATTATAACAACATTTCCATCACTGGGTATTATGTGTAAAAAAAAAAAAAAGACTTTGGCAACTCAGCAAACACAAGTACATGTTCATTCCTTTGATTGTTAGCAAGAAATGAGTAAGACCTACATGAAGAAAACTGTTAATAAGCCATAACACAAAAATAGATAAATGAATAGATGTAACTTGTACTTGGAGAGAAATATTATAAATATAGCAGTTCTCACTAAATAAATCTATAGTTACTGAAGTCCCAATAAAAATCCAAGTAAAATTTTAATAAATGGTATAACTGGCTAGTCATTTGGACATAAAGCAAACACTTCAGTCCTTATTCCAAAATAAAATAATTCAAAGATTTAAATGTGAAAAATTAAAGTATAACATACTAGAAGATAAATCTTTTAGTCATTTGGTAAGAAGAATGCCTTTATCATCATGCAATAAAACCAAGAAGCCATAATTACAAATATTAAAAATGGTATCTCATAAAATGTTTAAACTATGATTGGATATAGAAGAAAGATAAAGAAAAACAAAGACCCAACTACTTGCAAAAGTAATATTCCTAACAGATGAGATGAAAAGACCTAAAGGGCAAAGGACATAAACAGATAATTCACAGAAGAAATCGATCATTAATTTACAAAAAGAATGTCAACATCACTAAGAATGAAAGAAATGCAAATTAAACTGGGCATGAAGTATCAACATATTCTTCTCAAATTGCCAAGATTGATGGTAAGCAATAGTCACATAGTTATGTAGGACACAGGGTGATTAATATGATATTGGTAGGAGTGGATACTCATACAATCATTTGGAAGAGCAATTTATCATCATCTCTTCAAATTAAAAATGCGTACCTCCTTAGACCTAGAATTTATACTTCTGGAAATTTAATGTAAAACAATATTCATCAAAGTGGGCAAAGAATACACAGACACACGTACACCTATTCCTTGCAGAACTATTTGTATTTGGGAATGGTTGTCAGTAGTGGATTAGTTAATTGGCAGATAACAATGGCCTAAATTACAGCCATTAAAAGATAGGTAGTATATTTATATACTACCAACAAAGGACATCCATAACATATTGAGAAAGGCAATTTGCTGAAGGGCATTTAATCCCATTTTTAAAAATTATAGATATTAGTATATGTACTGAAAAAAATTTGAAATAATAATACATTCACCACAGTCCTCTCTGAGGATGATGGGGGAACTGTCAGTTTCCAAGATACAAAATTTTGTTTTATTTGAATTTCTACAAAATAATTATGAACCGGACAAATACATTTTTTTTAGTAATTAAAAGTAAGTATAGCAAAGTGAAGTTGAAATGATGACAATTTCACAGCCTTTCTTCCTTTCCCATTAGTCAGGAAAAGAACAATTCCCATGTTGCTTTGAAGATAAAACAGTGAGTGAACTACTGGTACACAGTTGAAGAAATTGTGAGAGCAATGGACAGAGACAGGGCCTAGCAGAAGGTAAAGGGGAGACATATTTTCCAAACACTGAGATAAATGGAAATATCTACCTGGCCACCTGCTGCCCCATCAACGTATCACCCTCCTTCAATCGTTTGGCCGCCAATCTGGAAAAAAATAATCCATGCTTAATACATAAGAGCATCTGGGAAAAACTGTCTTGAGTTTAAGGCAAATGGAAAACCATTGCGGAAGTGTGCGCAGAAACCTGGACTTGCAATTGGTGCCTAAAGGGGGATGGACAGACTTGTGGGACTGAATCTTTAACCTGTGGGATCTGACACTATCTTCCGGTAGGTAGTGTCAGAATCAAGTTGAATTGCAAGCACGCAGCTGGTGTCTTAGCTTTGCATCTCTATCAATCAACTAGGAGAAAAAATATTTAAAGGAAAGATGACTATATGGATTACCTAGGCAAAAAATTACGGAGGAGTGTGTGACCTATGAAGGCTTTTATTCTCTTCCCTCCCAGAGAATTTACTGAGTACTCAGTTTGAGTCAGCTGCAGATTACCCAAATTACAAGAATATAGGGAAATAGAAGGCAAGAAAATCCAATTTTAGTCTTAGCATCTTCCTCTACTCAAATTGTTTGCCAGTAGTGAAATGGACAAATTGGAGATTGGTTTTTGTTTTTGTTTTTAATTTTTCTGGAAGCAACTCTGGTGAGCAATGAGAGGCAAACTGTGGACTCTAAGATAGGAGGTAATTGTAAAATAAAGAGGCCAGGGTAATTCCTCACCAAGCTTCTCTGGCCTTTGCCTGCCACAAATCCCATCACTCTTACTGTGCTGGGAGAATCAGGGGGAAATGACTATTTTGAATCAGTTGGCTATTTTACAAGATGAGCTACCTTAACATAGAGACTAACATACAATGTAAGAATGTTTAAGAGGAAAATAATACCTCATGTAAGGATCCACAGTGAGGAACAAAGCTTCCAGCAGGACCTCTACAAAAGAAAGCATCCCACAGGCAATTAGAACTAAAGGCTTGATGCCTTTGTTGTCTCTGACATTCTAAATAAACACAGATCGTATTTCAGCTTCAGGGCTGCCCTCATAAGTACTTCCTATTGAAGAGCCAAGAAGGACTCACATTTGGCCCAGCCTATTGTTGTTGTTGTTGATGATGACGATGGTGGTGGTCATCATCAACATCATCATCATCATTATGATATTTGCACAGCATTCCATGCTTTTCATGTATTATTTCATAGGATATTCTCAACAATTATTGTTTCTACTTCATTTAAGTTTAGGTTTAGTAACTTGCCCAGGGCCATATTTGTAACCACCATGTTGCAGTACTCACCGAGGGTTTCATTACCAGTTACAGTTATTATTAAAGAACTAGTGGCCCGGTGCATGAAATTTGTATGAAATTTGTGCAGGGGGGGGGGGGGGGGAGGATGGGTGTGTTCCTCAGCCCATCCTCTCGCAATCCGGGACTGCTGGCTTCTAATCACTCACCTGCCTGCCTGCTTGATTGCCCCTAACCACTCTGCCTGCCGGCCTGCTCGCCCCCAACTGCACCCCCACCAGCCTAATCACCCCCAACTGCCCTCCCCTCCTGGCCTGATTGCCCCTAACTGCCTCTGCCTTGGCCCCACCACCATGGCTTTGTCCGGAAGGTCTCCCAGTCTAATTAGCATATTACCCTTTTATTCGTATAGATATGCATGTTGT